GGCAACAATAAGGGGGTTGTTTACGTAGGCAACGAACGTCGCAACATCGCCGTCCGCCACGGTGTTCTCCACAATGCTGACTTCAACTTGTACATCAACGAGGGCTTCACCGGGGAAGCCTCAGACTTCGGTGTTATGGAGGTCATCACGTGGAACCGGGCACTTTCGGACTATGAGATGTGGACCAGCATGGAGTACCTGAACTGGAAACTCCAGGTGGGAATGATCCATGCAGCCTGATACGTGGACTTAGAGCCTAAAGATTCCTTCAAATCCTGATAATAATTGATGTTTCATGTGCGAGGTAGGACCTGTCTCCGTGCTCATGCTCAGTGACGTTGTGAACATGTCGCACCTGCATAGGAATAGAGCCGTTAGTTGCGGCTTGTCAATGCTGAATACACATGGGTTTTTGGAACACAGCGGCCCTAACATAGACCCTCAATGCACAGCATCCGTACTATAAGGTAAAACGGCAGCCCTGACTTTTCTGAAAATCCATCTTGGTCTTCATCATGCCGATTTCATGACAAAGAGTATATACTCGCAACTCAAACCTGTCGGACCTTTCAATTCCCTTCGTCAAGGCCACCCAGACCCCAAGCCAGCCACCCCCAAATCCGTTCTGAATCAGTCAAAGCCACCCAGACCCCAAGCCAGCCCCCAAACATCTCGGACCTCTCAATTCCCTTCTAACTTAGTCAAGGCCACCCAGACCCCCCAAACCCCTTCCAAATCCCTTCTAAATCAGTCAAAGCCACCCAGACCTCAAGCCAGCCCCCAAACCTCTCGGACCTTTCAATTCCTTCCTAACTTAGTCAAGGTCACCCAGACCCCAAGCCAGCCAGCCCCCAAACTGGGACCCCCCCAATCCCCTTCTAATTCAGCCAAAGCCACCCAGAGCCCAATCCAGCACCCAAACCTCTCGCTCGGACCTCTCAATTCCCTTCTAACTTAGTCAAGGCCACCCAGACCCCCCGCAAATCCATTCTAAATCAGTCAAAGCTACCCAGACCCCAGCCAAGCCACCACCCAGACCTCAAGCCAGCCCCCAAACCTCTGCGACCTTTCAATTCCCTTCTAACTTAGTCAAGGTCACCCAGACCCAAGCCAGCCACCCCCCAAATCCCTTAAAAAATCAGTCAAAGCCACCCAGACGAAGCCAGCCCCCAAACTAGGACCCCCCGAATTCCCTTCTAACTCAGCCAACGCCACCCACCCAAGCCAGCCCCCAAACCTCTCGGACCCCTCAATTCCCTTCTAACTTAGTCAAGGCCACCCAGACCCCAAGCCAACCCAAGCCCCCAA